CTCTATACAAAAAAGGAAAACCGCAACAGCGACCATGCGGGTTGTCTGTCGTTTTGCCAGGTGGACAAGGAAGCGCTGTAGAAGAGTCAAAAGAACTGTGTGTCGTTCTCCTTAAAAGCGCAAAAGGTTTATCAAACGTCCTGATCAAATTGAATTGCTTCTTCAAACTCGTCAGTGCATGTAAAAAGAATGAATTAGGACTACTCATTGTACATGTTCCACCATTTTTATATGGAGGTTAAATAGCATAAAACATTATGTTGGGCAAATTAGTAGTATATAACGGCAAAAAAATGTCTTAAACATTCATGTTTGTGATATCGGCAAAAAAATGTCTTAAACATTCATGTTTGTGATATCTATACCTTTTTCACAATTGTTTCCATAAAACCCCTCGGCACATTTACAGCTGTAAGAGTCATCTCCAGTTACTGTGCAGACTCCTCCATTTTGACAAGGGTTGTTTGTACATGGGTTCACTAAGGTTCGTAACGAAACTCTAGATTAGGTATCCCGGGTTTTTGGCAAGGGTTGTTTGTACTAGGGTTCGAGGTCATTCACTTGTCGAAATTAATAAATGTTTCTCAAGTAGACAATTACGTTCAAAAGCAGGAACTTGGTTTTAGGTAAAATAAAACATACATGGTAAAGCTATATGTTTGTGTCCAGATATACTTTTGTTGTGCGCTGGAGAAAACCAAACACTTAGTGGATTATCAACTATAACTTCGGACAAATTTATTTTATAAAATTGGCAGAGTGAGTAAATCCCAGCTTAAATTCTTCGAAATCTGCTTTGAGTCCCTATCTACACTTCAGTGTGTTAAAATAATCCACCACATAAACGTTTTTGATTCAACTGAAGCATGATGAGGAACCGAGAGAATCGATAGGTTGCTCTAAACCCAAGTCATCATAAGAAGGACTGAGGATGAACGTTGTCCACGTTCTTTTTGGTCACTTTGACCATATGGAGAAAAACAATCTATTACAGTGATGAAAGTGGATTATTACCTCGTGCTATTTTGTCTCACGCAAATAGAATTTTTGAAAACAATTGTTGATAACTTTGTTTTACATCCAAACTTGCAAAGTTGTCCTTGTTATAACTTACCGCAGTTAGCCCAATGTCCTTTGTAAACTTTGTCTAATGAACACCAAAATATGTGATGAGCGACTTTTGTGCAAGAGTTGTATGTCTTTCCTCCATATACAAAAGGAAAAACACAGCAGCGGCCATGTGGATTGTCTGTCCTCTTGTCAGGATGACACCAACTCATGACTTTAAGAGGAAAAAAAGGAAGAAATCTTGTCAGGAACTCACTCTAACCAGTCGTAGGATATTTAAAGAGCCTTAATATCTCTGTTAGAACAGAAAATAATTCATGGAGGGTTCAGCGTTAAACCTCAATACTCTTTGGTAAATGTCTTTAACTCCCGGGGGGGTACTCCCTTATAAGGGCTTAATGGGGACGTGCGGCAAGCCAGGTCCCGTACAGGCCTGATTTTTTTCAGGT